TAGATGTTTTGTCCATGGACATTTATACCAGCACCAGCAGAAATTCAGAGAGAGAGAGAGAGAGAGAGAGAGATCCTCAGGCATCAAGGAAAGATCCCAAAGCACAACTTACAGTAGAGATCAGAAGAAAAAATATACCAAAAAGAACTTCTGAGAAAAGCAAAATAAAAGATCTACAAATGTGCTCTAACTAAAGTACAGAAGATATAAATATATTTTCACTGCCCATGAAAATATGCAATTTCATTTGGAAGGCTGTCTGCATACATGAAAATAAGCATCTGGTATTCAGCTGAAGTTTCCAAATGAATGCACAGGCATAACTAGGCTCAAGAAAGTATGTTCACTGTGTCTTCTAAATGGTAAGGATCATGTGTGGTCATGGGAAACTCCAACATGGGCAAAACCTTCAAGATCAAGCCTCATTGCCTTCCTCCTATATCCATGTGTTAATCCACTAAAGAAGCCAGTGAAGCCAGGTGCCATATTACGGATTACTTCTGCAATCCTAGCTACTCAGGAGGCTGAGACCTGATGATCATGGTTCAAAGCCAGCCTAGGCAGCAAAGCCTATGATACTCATATTGGTCATCATTTTACCACCTAAATGGTAGAAGTGGAGATGTGGCTCAAGTGATAGAGCACCAATCTCGAGTGAAAAAGTTAACAGTTAGAACCCAGACCCCAAGTGCAAACCCTAGTACCAGCACACAATAATAATAATAATCCAGCAAGTTAATTAAAACTCTAAACATGATCATAATTGGCTTCTCCTGATTATATTCAAGTGGCCTATCAACAATGAGATAACTGATAGTAAGCAAAACTCATTGCTCAATATTTTCCAACCCTGTTCTCCCTTTGAGTACCTCAACAAAAGATTGTGTCCTTTGGAATTCCTTAGGAACTTTGAATTCTTCCACCAAATCCCCTCTGCATTTTTCTGTCACATGTCTCCACTTGTTCTCCCCTCCTTTTCCTGTGATTTTGGTACCTTGTACTTGTTTTGTAGTACAGGACATACTACAGAGGACCAAAGTCCCCCTAATGAGGAGGACTCCTATCTGTCTAGAAGTGGAAGATCACATGTATGTTCCATAATAGAGAACAATAGCCTCCTTCCTACAAGCTTGGAGTGGACAGCCACAGCTCACCACCACACTGTGTGGCAGAAAAACACAACAGAGCAGCTTGCTCCTCCCAGTGCAAAAGAAAAGAGGAGAGAAGGAGAGAGAGAGAGAGAGAGAGAGAGAGAGAGAAATAGAGAGAGAGAGAATGCATTGTTTGCAACCTAAATTGAAATGGTATCCTATCATTTGCTCAATCCTATTAGTTAAAGTAGAAGCCAGCCATTTAGTCTAGTCCACACTCAGAGAAACAAAGTATACAAGTTCATAAGCACTGGCAGGCAGGCATCATGGAGGACATTCTTAGAGGCTACTTAATGCAATAATAAATGCAAACATTCTAACAAAACTTGACAAAAAACACATAAAAAGGAATTACATATTGTGACTGAGTGAGGTTTAACCTAGGATTACAAAGTTAGACAAACACTAAAAATGCCATGAATGTAATCTGCCATTTTAAGAAAATGTAAGCTGGACACCAGTGTCTCACGCCTGTAATCCTAGCTACTCAGGAGGCTGAGATCTAAGGACTGAGGTTCAAAGCCAGCGCAGGCACTAAAATCGGTGAAACTCTTATCTCCAATAAGCCACCAGAACACTGGAAGTGGCTCAAGTGGTAGAGCGCTAGCCTTGAGCTGAAGAGCTGAGGGACAGCGCCCAGGCCCAGAGTTCAAGCCCCACATATGACAAAAAAAAGAAAATAGGATCATTTCAATCAATGCAAAAAGGATGTTAGCAAAATCCAACATTTAAAAAAGAAACCTTAACATCAAGGAATAAAAGAACATATTTTCAATATGAAGAATCTCCAAATTTTCTGTCTAACATCATACTCAGTGATAAAAGACTAAATGTTCTCCCCTCCCCCAGTTTGGGATGGAAGTAAGACTATCACTCTCTGTTCCTACTCAGTATTATACTGCAAGCCTAATGCTTTCCCATAAAGCAAGAAGAAATTAAGCTATATAAATAAGAAAGGAATAAATAATTGTCTTGAAGCGCACATTCCATAATCATCTATGAAGCAAATCCTAAGGAATCTACAGAAAGCAAACAAACAAAAAAGCTACTTCAAATAATCAGAAAATTCAGCAAAGCAATATATTACACTTGATTAAATTTACAATAATCCATTGCAGTTCAGCATTTTCTGCACAGATCCAATGCATGAGCTGTATGGAGATGTGGTGTGACTCATCACTCCCAAAGCATTCAATAATCTGTTAATTACCCTGGTATCAGAATCTCTTTGTGAATATAATGTTTTGGTAGTTCTGCTAGTTCTTACTTTCCATTTTCTATCATAAGAGCCTTCACTCTGTGAGTCACTGTTAGGTTTATGCCAATGGCTAAATATGTATATTCTCTCTATAATCTGAAATGGAGGAAATAATTAAAGATTTACTTGGTCCCCACCATGCCCAGAATAAGATGGGCCAAAGCTGTGTTGCTCATTTCTCTATGCCTCCTCTTACTCGGGATTCCCAGAAGCACTTAAGCCTTCAGCACTTACTCAGTCCATACCAAGTACACAGCAATCCCAACAAAAAGATTTTTTTAATTTTAGTTTGTAATTTATAGTCACTGACAGATGGCCACAGGTATCTCTGGAGGAAAATAGAAGAAAGACACACAATATAAAATGTTAGCTATACTACCAGGACTTTTCTCAAGTCCTATCCTGTCTCAAGCCTGGAACTAGTTGCAGGGCTTTATGATATTCAAGACTTTATCAAGCCTAGAATGTTTCTGCTTAACAACAACAACAACAACAACAAAAACTAAGATGTTGGTCTGGCACCAGTAGCTCACACTTTTGTGAAATCTGAGAATCCCAGTTCAAAGCCAGACCTAGGCCCTGAGTTCAAGCCACACACTAAATAAATAAACTGCCTGAGATGTTAACAGACAGCCTGTCTTTATCTTGGAGCAGAAAAAGCATCCTTGCCTGCAATCAAGTAAAGCAGAACAATATGAGGGAAACACTATGGGACTAGAGTAAAACAAAAAAGAATTTGAAGAACTGGAGACATGTCTCAAATGACAGAGCACCAAAAAAAGTGAGAAAGAGTCTGTGCTCTGAGTTCAAGCCCCAATACTGACACAACGGCAAAAAAAAAGGAAATGAGCCAGTGGCTCATGCCTATAATCCTAGTTGCTCAGGAGGCTGAGATCCTCAGATCCCAGTTTGAAGCCAGAAAGGAAAGTCCATGAGACTCTTATTTCCAATTAATCACAGAAAAAGCCAGAGGTGGCAGTGCGGCTCAAGTAGTTGAGCACTAGTCTTGAGCAAAAATGAGCCCAGGGACAACATTCAGGCCTAGAGTTCAAGCCCCAGGAGGAGATAGAAAAAGAAAAAAACAAGTGGATTTGATACCTACTTCTGCTATTTAAAAAATATGAGATTTTTTCAAGTATTTTGAATGCTACAAACCTCAGCTTCTTCATCTGTAAATTGAGAACAATACTTTCAGTATTTATATGAGGTTAAATAAGATCAGACACATACCTAAAATGTACCATCAGTCTTTGACTAGAAGATGCCCAATATTTCATATTTTAGCCACTTTACAATAGAAATGAAACTTAGAATTGATGATTTGTTACTTCATAATCGAGAGCTCTTTTTTCTTAGGGACACATTAAACACACCTCAAAAAATGACAGTCACAGATAGCATCTTACTATCAAACCAAGTATAATTCTCAATGTATAAGTAGAAAAGTTCTGATCCCGTATACACAAACACTATCTTTTGTGTGAATATGTTAGTACTAGGGTTTGAATTCAGAGCATTGAGTTTTCATTCAACTTTCATGCTCACAGCTGGGGCTCTATTGCTTGAACCAGGCCTTCAACCTGGCTTTTTGTTGGTTAATTGAAATGGAGTCTCTCTGACTTTTCTGCCCAAGTTGGTTTTGAACTTCCCTTCTCCAGATCTCAACTTCATGAGTAGTGAGGATAAGTGAGTCACTGACACCAAAAAAAAATACTGTCTTTTATATAGGTATTTGTCTTTCTCCATTCATTGAACTAACTCCTCAGCATCCACTTCCCTTATCATTAAAATGAGTAGAATGGAAAGCCTATGAATTACAGATTCAACAGAATTCTGGGGTCTTACTGGTATGTGACATTCTGAGCTTCCATCTCATGCTCCAGAACTATTTGCAGAAATACCCAATTATTGCTACAATGATTAAATGAGAACACATGTATAAAGTGTTATCAGGGACATATTGTAGGTATTTGATAAAACCTCCCTCTTTCTTCCTTCTCTCCATACCACGTTCTATTATTCTACTAATCATTTGGATACAATGATGGACTAATCTTCAACTTCTGGCCACACAAACTATGGCCTGCAGGCTGAATCAACCCACCACCCAGTTTTGAAAATAAAGATTTGTTCATATAATGTTCCCATATTTGTTCACATATGCTCACCTGTGTCTATGCCTTTGTGCACCAATGGCAGAAGAGAGTGTTGTCACAAAAAAACAAATATTGCCTTCCAGGGTGAAAATAATTACAGAAAAAAAAACCTGTTGGTCCCTGTTCTCAAGTCCTCTCTATGCAATTGCTCTGCCTCTGAAGAGCTGCTTTGGATAAGAAAGTTGCATGCCTGATTCTGAGAGCCAGAACTCTTGGGATCTGCCCACAAATTCAACACCAGCGGAGATGAGAGTAGTCATGAGAATTTCTGATAAGGAAGACAACTCAGCCAAAACAAAACCTGATGAAGCCAGTTCTATGGTTTTCAGCCCTCCCTTGCTTCTTCAGGAACTATAAAGGCCGAGGTGAGAGTTAGAATGGCATTAAGAGCTGACCATGGGCATCACTGGGAAAACACAGATCTTGCTTCTTCTGATGGTCATTCTCTTGACTCCTGATGCTGGAGCTGGTAAGTCTCTGTTCTTCAAGTCTCCGAGCTCCCATCCTATCTTAGATTAGGAAAGGAACCTAAAATAAGGCTACATGACCTTTGCAAGTGGGTGGGGAAGTCTACCTCGACAGGTCATACCCTCTCCTGCAGTTGATAGGAGTTTCACATGGAAAAGGAGTATTACAAAAACAGAATCAGAAAAGTGATCCCCTTTCACATAAGTTCCTTACAATACCCATGATTCTATTCTTTCCCAGCCTCCGTAATTGAGGAGGTCATAATGGGGACAGGAATAAATATTTAAATAAAATGACAACTCAAAAACAAGAGTGGCCATTGGCTTCTGAAAAGTACAATGATGAATCACAAGTTGAACTGAGGTAGCAAAGGATCAAAACAACAAAAAATAAAAATAAAAAGCAAGCGTGGAAGGATTGAGCTAGAGAAGAACTAGGATGAGACCCAGCTACAGTCCCTCAGCTTTACCCCATCTTCCTCTGCAAGACTCGGTAAGCCTGTGGTTGGGGATCTGGGGTTCTCTGTTCTAGAGGAGATTATCGGTGGTGCTGAGTCCAAGCCACACTCTCGCCCCTATATGGCCTTTCTGGAAATCACCACCGACACAGGTGATACTTTCAGCTGTGGTGGGTTTCTCGTAAGCCGACAATTTGTGATGACAGCTGCTCATTGTAAAGGAAGGTAAGAAACTTTGACTTGTTCTCTCGCTATGTAAGGAAGAATTAGTTAGAGACAACACTGAAGTGGCCTGTTTGGCTCAGTGATACACATCAGGAAGACCAATGGTACAAGCAGCCATTCATTTGGGCCATTTCATGTGTCATCTCCCTCTGCAGACACCAGGGCTTTACACAGGCCAGGCCAGGTCAAGGCAACACTGCCCATCTTGCTTTGGTGTTACTAGAGCTCTCAAAGGCCTACATTTTTCAAGGCCTTTCTCTTTCTTGAAAAGACTGCAATCCATGAGACACTGTCCTGAGTAAATTCTGAGTCCCTCAAATGGCTGTGCACTGAGAAAAAGGAAGGCTTGGCGTCCCTGCCCAGAACAGGCCCTTTGCAGGAGGCAGGCTATTTTTCTCTCTCTCTTTTGAACAGGAAAATTACTGTCATTCTGGGAGCTCATGATGTGACAAAACAGGAATCCACACAGCAGAAGCTGGAAGTCTCAGAACAAATTGTTCACCCAAAGTACAGCTTACTTACCCATCTCCATGACCTCATGTTACTAAAGGTAACTATGATCTCTCTCGACCCTCCTAAGTCCCTCTTTATGGCCCCTTCTCCAGGCCTGTGCCTTTCTCATCCAACCCATTTCCTTGGAGAGCAAGTCTTGGTCTGGTCCCATTGTGCCTCTATCACATCCCATCATCCACCTTCCTAAGACAGCAATCTGTCTTTTTTTCTGCCCCTCACAGCTAAAAAGGAGAGCCACGCTGACCCATGCTGTGAATGTAGTTCCTCTGCCAACTCAATCTGCCTTTATCCCACCGGGGAGATTATGCCAGGCAGCCGGCTGGGGAAGAACAGGAATAACAGAGCCATTGTCAGATACCCTGAGAGAAGTGAAACTGAGAATCATGGACAGAAGGGAGTGCAACCACTTTGGGCATTATAAAAACATGTACCAACTCTGTGTGGGCAATCCCAACAACAGACGATCTGCATACAAGGTGATTACATATCTGCATTTCCTACCCACATAGGGACTCAGTGTACTTGACAGGGAGCAGAGCTCAAGAGCTGCCTAGGACAGTGACTGCTACCTGTGTTCATAAGCTCCTAGCACTAGCACTCTGGCCCTTTTCCTTTTTCTTCCTTCCTTCCTTCCTTCCTTCCTTCCTTCCTTCCTTCCTTCCTTCCTTCCTTCCTTCCTTCCTTTCCTTTGTCAGTCATGGGGCTTGAACTCTTGTCCTGGGCGCTGTCCCTCAGCTCTTCAGCTCAAGTGAGCACTCTACCACTTAAGCCACAGTGCCACTTCCAGTTTTCTGGTGGCTAATTGTAGATAAGAGTCTCACAGACTTTCCTGTCTGGGCTGGCTTTGAACCACAACCCTCAGATTTCAGCCTCATGAGTAGCTAGAGTTAGAGGCGTGAGCCACCAATGCCCAGCTAGGTCCCACTTTTCTATGCCCAAATCCCTCCTATCCAATGTGTCAAGCAAGCCTCCGGAAGAAAATTAAGAGGGCTGTAAGGAACACAGCCGAAAGTAATGGGTCCAGAACAGAAGATGGTAAACCCTAATTGTTGGCACCATAGGGGATTCCTGATGAGACTCTGGGTACTTTGGGGCTAGCTAGCTAGGATCTGATTGAACCAGGGCTTGGGACAGTAGTTGGGAGAGAACAGCCTCTTTTCACAATCTTCTTCTTCCTCTCACCTACAGGGAGATTCTGGGGGACCCCTACTGTGTTCTGGGGTGGCCCACGGTATTGTTTCTTATGGACGTTGGACGGCAGAGCCTCCTGCAGTCTTCACACGCATCACCTCATATATGCCCTGGATTGATAAAGTCATAAAGGGCAAATAGCTGAGAAGCCTTGCCAGCCTAAGGAGGCCCCATAGCAGAGCTTATCTTTAATAATCCCTGGGTTCTTCTGAGCCTGACCTTGGCCTGAGCCCAGGGAAACTCCAACACCAAACCTCAGGTGATTGTCCTCCCCTCCAAAAAAAAGTCAATAAAGATGAGACATGGGTATGTGACTCTAATCTTTGCTAACTTTGGAGGGCTGTTTTCCTCCCTCACCTACATTCCCCCTCTCTAGCCTACACTACACTAGGCTCCTTTCTTGCCAAGAACAGTCACCCTGCAGAGGAAGTGATATTATGGATTATTAAAACTTACCTAAAACACCTGGGAAGCTAGGACTGTGGCTCAGTGGCAGAGTGCTTGCCTAGCATGCATGAAGTCCTGAGTTTGATTCCTCAGTAACACATAAACAGAAAAGTCCAAAAGTGATGCTGTGGCTCAAGTGATAGAACGCTAGCCTTGAGTAAAAGCAGCTCAGGGACAGTGTCCAGGCCCTGAGTTCAAGCCCCAGGACTGGCAAAAACAAACAAACAAATAAATAAATAATAAAACACCTGTATCTGCACTACAGAATTTCATGTCCACAGGAATACTGGCACTGATTTACTTTCTTCCTCTGCTGTCCTTTTTCTCTCTACTCCTTCTCTCCCATCTCCTCTTCCCACATTGAAATTCATCCATACACCATAGAAAAGTCGCTGTCACTGTGTTGGAGATGACCTGAGCTTGGCCATTGGTGCATACATTGCGTCTTTGATGTGTGCCCTATCATGTCGTCTTCATCTATGCTGTGTCAGCAGCTAGAGGACTGCCTGTCCTCAGAAGCCCTCGGGATGGATCTGTGGCTGCAGAGGTCCTAACAGAAGATGGGGGTCTATCTGTTCTGGAATTCTACACAGGAAAAGGGATTTCTAATAACATCAATGTGAGCCTGGCCCCAAAGATTACATTAGCACCACACATATTTGACTGTCATCTTCCTCAGAGATGAACACTGGCATCTTGACCAGTGTTAGGTAAAGTCCTCTAACATGTCCTCCTCCAAGTGACCTTCAATCCTCTGACTCCTAGAGCCACCAGCATCTAATGGGGTCTGAATACCCACAGGCCTGTATCCTAGTTCCAGGGGAAAAGAACATGAATGTCAAAGAACTCTGTGGCATCTGAAATCAAAGGGGCCTCACGCAAGTCCCACCATGGTCCCTAGGAGGCTTAAAAAATAAACCTGTTCCCATCCCCTGAGCATGGCACTGAAAGAAATTGCTGCCACTACTGGTCTCACAGCAGGCACCCAATGCCACCACCTCCCCACTGCCTGTCAGCTACAGAGCTGGACTAATAGCTTCCCGCTGATTCATACATACATAGAGCATAGAAAACACAGTGCATGCTGTGGGCCATGACTCAAGTGGTAGAATGTTGATCTAGCAAGTATGAAACCCTGAATTTAAACCCCAGTACCAGCCAAAAATATTTTTTTAATTAGCTTATATTGTTTACATAGGTTATATATGGTTATACGGCTAGCCCCTTTAATTTCAGACTCCACAGGGTTCTTGGGCATTCATATTCTTTTTCCTGCGACTGGGATACGTATGTGTGTATGTATATGTATATATCTATATACATAGATATATACATATATATATATTACCCTGGTTATATGGGGGCAGAAGAGGGATTTCATTATACTACCAAACATGTTTACCATATATTCCATTCAGTCGCACTCTCTCTATTACTCTTCTTCCCCTCGTTCCCCCTTCCAAAAATAATTTCAACAGATTTCAAATGATCTATTTCATGTTCATCCTCTCTCATCCTCCTGGGTTAGTGAGTCCCCTCCTGCTAATGCCCACTCCCCAGTGGATCTCATTTCCTACCCTTTCAGCCTTCACTAAGGCTTTTTCCACTATTTTCATTCATACATACTTGCAATATATTACACAATTATTCACCCTCTTTTTCTCTTCCTTTCTCCTCCTAAATAATCCCTTAATTTGATTCATGTTCTGTGTTCATTCATATATGTATATTTTATTTTTATCATATTTATTTTATTTCATTTTATTAATATAATTTTATTTTATTTATATTTGTATTGTATGTATTTATAATTATGGATATGGATATGTATACAATTACACATGTCCATGAATATGTATGTCTTTTAGATCTAGCTTCCACATATGAGTGAACATGCCTGGTAGCCCATGGTTATAATCCCAGTTACTCAGGAGGATAAGATCTGAAGATCACTGATCACTGTTTGAAGCCAGTCTAGGCAGGAGAGTCCATGAGAGCCTTATGTTCAGTTAACCACCAAAAAAATCCAAAATTGGAGCTGTGGCTCAAGTGGTAGAATATTTGTCTTGAGCAGAAAAGCTCAGGGACAGTGCCCAGGCCCTGAGCTCAAGTCCCAGAACCATCACCAGCAGAAGAAAAAAAAAACACCTTACTATATTTTATTTAGCTTGCTTGTCTCACTCACTATGATATCCTCCAATAGTATCCATTTTCCTGTAAATAACATGATTTAATTTTATGGCTGCTTAATATTCTATAGTCTATACATCTCTTCTTTATCCATTCACTGGTTAGGATGATTTTCTTTCTTTCCTAGTTCCTGTTACACTGGAATGATTAACAATTTAAGTGGTTTTATTTTGGTTTTGGCTTGGTTTTTTTTTTTACATTTTAAAAGGGCATCACTTTTTATTATCCTGCCTTATAGTTAATGATTAGAGGTACACAGATTCTGACTTCCTTGGGGAAATAGCACTTATATTTTATTTGCAGATCCTTAATACCATTTTTAAAATTTATTCTATAAACTACTATTCTATAAACTATAAATGAAATGTCCTAAGATAGCCAGTTTTGTTTTCATTGTGATTATGGAATAATGAAAATTTCTGTTAGACAAACAAATCACTGTTTTACATCATTTTGTACATGTAAATATTATGAGAAGAAAGCAAGCAGCTGTTAAAGAAGTTCATCATGGGAGCTGGCAAGGCTCAAAGATTTTCTTCTTCACTTGTCATCTCCTCCACAGATCTATGAGAGAGCGATTTCATAGTCTCCAGAAGTGTCTGATTTGATCGCTGAATATAGGGAATATCCATAATGCTTCTTAAACTCAAATGTCTAGAAGGTCGATTTCTGATCTGAAAACCATTATTCAGTTCAGAATAAACTCATCAGTTTCAGCACCCTTCAAAGACTGATGCAGTCTTTCAGCTAAAAAGGTAGGTGTGTTCCTCACACAACAAACTATGGCCAGCAGTTAAGTCTTCAAAATGCCCAGATAATTTTCCTTTGATGCTGTCTTCCATGTCCTTCTGGCTAATATTAATGTATTCATCAAATGTTAGTTTCAGTTGAGGAAAGTTCCTTAAACACAGGATCTCAGTGAATTTGTCTTCATCTGTGCCCCATTTATTCTCACCAGCATTATAGAGGATCTGGGCATCTTTTTTGGCCAGATGTCCATCAACCTTCAGACTTTCATCTCGTCTTCCATCTGCCAAAGTCAACAGAACTAATATCATCTCCAAGACTCTTCTTGAATACTGATAATAGGCTTGAGAGATCTCCTTTATTTCCCCACTTGCCCTGGTAGTTAAGATTTCAGTCAAGGTATCTTCATCTGTTCCTGTGCCCTTCATGGATTTCTTTAGCTGCTTCTCATCAAACACGGCTGGTGGAGTTACAAGAGCCACCATGACATATTTAAAGTTGCCAGAGAGATAGCCCTTCAAATCCTTTTAGCTCCTTCTCATACACTGCTTGATATTCCTTGGCAATCAGTTGTCGCTGTGCATTAGATCTCTGAATCAGAATGCTGGATGAGCATTTTCTCATCTGTTCCAATTCCTCTGATTGCCTTACAAACAGCTTCAGCATCCACAGGCTAAAGCCTGGATAGTCTCTAATTGTCCCTTGGTGCCAACCCAGACAGATGCCATGATATCCTACATTTTCCTTGAATGAAGATTACACTGATCCTGAGCCCCCAGGACCACGCCAGGAACAGGAAAGGCCAGCCAAGCTGTGAGCTGTCGGTTTCGGTTTTTTGAAACAGCCAAACTGGTTTGTTTGTGGGTTGTTATTTTTTCTATCACCTCAGTTGGCTTTGAACTCACAACCCTTCTGCCTCAGCCTCTGTATTTCTGGGATTACAGGATTGGACCACCACCCCAGTCTTAAATAACAGTTTCAAAAGCAAAGGCACTGGATATATTTCCTAGGACAGCTAAAGCCCCATCTCCACTTTATTCACAGAACAGCACAGACTAAGAACTGCACAGACGCGGCAGTCTTCCAGAAGTTGAGCCCACATGAAGTAATGGGGCAGGGAGAAATGACTCAGACTGAGCCAACAGATTAAATAGGAATAAAAGTACTTCCATAAAGGTCATCTCTCCAAACCAAACTGCAACACAAGAGTGACTGGTGTAGAAAAAGCAGTTGACAGCCCAGCTGCTCCAAAAAGAGATTAGAGCACCATTATCTCTGCAATATTAATTTTGAGATGCAGTGAAGTGGACCCAAGTAGTGGGCCTGTCTGACAGACGCAGAGGATAAGAGAATCATAGTTCCACAAGATCAGCAGGGGAAACTGTCCAGATAAGGTTTTGTTCGTGATGGGAGGCAGTGTCAGGCAGCCCAGCTACATGGAAGTACACTATGGCAGCAGGCATCTTCCCCAATGCCGAGATGCCCAAATGGAAGAGCAGCTCAGACAAAGCAGGTAAAGAAAGAGCCCAAGAGAAGGTCAGCAAGGTTGGCAGATAAACCTGCTCCTTTGAAAGTAGAAACAGTCCCCATGAAAAGCAAATGCAGCAAGAAAGGAAAAATCTTGAAGTAAAGAAGTGCAAATATGGGGCTGGGAAGGCGGCTCAATGGTAGAGTGCTTACCTTATATGCATGAGGCCCTGGGTTCGATTATGTGGTCCTCAGCACCACATAAGCAGAAAAAGCCGGAAGTGGTGTTG